AGATTTTTCTAGGCCTGCATCCCTCAAGATGCAAAAGTCATCAAATTCTTCGCTTGTGTATTCTCCTCCATTATCTGTTCTGAAACACTTGATCTTATTTCTAGAATCAAGTTCCACCCGCGCTTTGAAGTTTTTGAAAGTTGAAAACACATCTGACTTTTTCTTAATAAGGTACACCCAGCATCTCCTAGAGTAGTCATCAATAAATGAGACAAAGTATTTTGCTCCGCCTAGGGATGTAACCGGTGCTTGCCATACGTCAGAGTGAACCAATTCTAGAACACTTTTGCCTCTAGAATTTGACGTGTTGAATTTCAACCGGTGTTGCTTACTTGTTATGCAATGCTCACACAAAGGAAGTGATACATTTGTTAAGCCTAGAAGTAGATTTTTCTCCACAAGGACTTTCATTCCTTGTTCTGATATGTGTCCAAGTTTCTGATGCCATAGCATTGCAAAATCTGAACTATATGAGGCAACATAGGCTTCTGCTTCTAGCAAAGTCTCTACCTTCAACATGTACAAATTTGCTGCTATCTTTTCGTCTTTCAGCACCACAAGCACTCCACGGAACACCTTCATGATTCCTTTCCATGTTTCAATCTTGCTTGCATTATTATCCAACAATCAGTAGGATAATAAATTTTTCTTCAGGCCTTTCATGTGTCGCACATCTCGAACAACTTTAATTGTTCCATCATACATCTTCAATTTGATGGTTCCTATGCCAACGATCTCTAAGGCATGATCATTGCAACTATACAAAGATCCTCCTGAGACTGGTTCATAATGATGGAACCATTCTCTTCTTGAGGTCATGTGATATGTTGCACCTGAATCAATGAGCCATATATCTGCAAATCGTTTTCTACCTTCCATGTTGGTTGACGCTTCATAACATAGAGCATCTCCATCTTCTGAAGTGTTTGCGTTATTACCTTGTGGATTGGAGTTTTTATTTAGACTCCAACAATCCTTCTTCAAGTGACCCTTCTTTCCACAGTTGTAGCACTTTAAATTCTTCTTTCTCCTCAACTTCGATCTACCATGTTTGTGACTACTGCTTTGGTCACGTCTTTGAAGTAGAAGTTCAACACGTTCTTGTTCTCCTATTTTACAGCTTAAGGATGTAAGCTGAGAAAATAAAGTGTTCAGTGTATTTAAGTGCTCCGTCACTGAAGTAGATTATGGCATATGGAGAGTGTATAATTTTCTCTTAAGGAAAATTTTATTGTGCAGCGATGTGGCCTCATACAATTTGGTAAGATGATCCCATATCTCCTTAGCTGTCTTTTTCTTCTCGATGCTTGACAATACTTCATCTGTTAATGCTAGATGAAAGTTCGCCATAGAATTCCCGTACATTTCGATCCATTTGTTGACATCTGTGAAATCTACCGGGCCTTTCACTGATAGCTGCTAGACACCCGTCTTTCCTCAGGATGGCCTTCATCTTCAATTTCCACAATGAGAAATTTTTCCCATTGAATTTTTCAATATCAAATTTCGTTGCCATAGCTTCTATTACGGATAGCTCCCACTATTTCACTATCATGAATAGTTCTCTGGAACCTTCAAAGAATGGGTAATAACTTCTTACTTTCTTATGTTGGAGGATCCACCTTTTGGTGGCAACCAAAAAGATAATAAGCAGATATTACACACTCTAATCTGGCTGGGATACCAATTGTTGCGGAAGGCGGCTATCGGATAGAGGGAAATCACAACTGATAATTTAAGAAAATAAAAATGAAGATAAAAGAGACACGAAATTTACGTGGAAAAACCCTAAATAATATAGGGTAAAAACCACGGGCAACGGTAGAAGAATTCACTATGAGAAAATAGGAATTACAACTTCTCTCGATCTACCACGGAGAAAACAATGATAATTCTCTCTTGATAAAAAAGGAGAAAACAACTCTCAAGAAACTCTCTAAATTCTCTCTAGTATTGGAAGAAAGCTAGAATGCTTTGGGATGGTTTTGAAGCTAAATGAGCTAGGGTATTTATAGTTGAAGCTTAAGGACTAATTTGTAAATACCTTAACTTACAATGGCTAAAATTGAGGTTCTACCATTGTTGAAAAATCAACAATTTCTGCAGCCCTTTTGACAATTGCATCTTCTTTCTTTGACTCCACAATTCGGTGGAGATTAGTGGCAACTTTCGGTGCCACTTGCTCAATCAATTTTCAACAGTTGTTGCTTCAATTTTGGTCCACTTCATGGAATTTGGCCGAGCTGTGTCCCCGACTTTTTAGTTCGTTTTATGACTATTATAGTGGTACATCCTGGCTTGTTGCTGGTTGCATTATGTAGCTAGAAGCAGGAGTTTTATTGCGCTAGTGATATCCTTTTCAGTGAGATGTGTTGGTGGTGGTTAGTATTATATATTAGCTGCATGTTCTTGAGATTGGAATTCTTGTAATCGACATTGGAAGATGTACTATTTTTCCTCTATTTAGGAGTAGGAAGGTTTTTTAACTAGACCTGTTCCGATTGCTTGATTTTGTATGTTTCCATTTCTCTAAATGCATACGAAACCACCCATTCAAAAAAAGTATACAATCACCTTTAAGAAAATGATGTTGAATAAATTGAGAGTTTATATTATTTTCGAAAGTTACGAATGTAGAATGAAACCCCATGCCAAAAACAAGTTATGGAACTTCTTGCTATCTTATATTCAAAATTATATTGTGATTTTTACTTGAGAATTCAGCACATATCTCTTCCATACGTCAAAGGGTTAAATTGAGAAGTTTGTTTGGTGAATATGGCCTATCTATGATTTTGTATGATTAATGATAAAAAAAGAAAAGTGGTTTATTATTCATTCACAATGGGGAAGAGCCATTACTAAAAGTTGGAAATAAACAAGAAGGGGTTATGAAGAATGGATTGTCCTACAATGAGAAAATGTCATGCAACTTTTTTATTCATGTTCTTGACTTATCCTATTTTAAGCCCCAATATTTGTTGTAGTTTACTAACAAATCTAATAGCACTTGTGAAAGCAAGGTTTTTTCTCATGAAATTTGCATTTTCTCCCTCAAAAATCAAATCAAAATACATATGAATTTTATGTTGCAAATATTCTATTTACAATTTGAAACTTTTTTGTTATTCATTTTTATTGTATTGCTCACTTTTGGCATTCATAATTAGGTGAACCCTCTTTATTTATTTTTACATAAAAGATATTGTTGTTTTAATTACGAGACGACGTTGTATTTTCCATTATTTTACTTGTTGGATGCCAACTTATATATAATTATTCGATATTCGACTATTCCAAGTTTGAGTACTATAAAGATTTATCATAGAATGATTTTCTCAACCTAATTTTTTTTACAATCTAAATTGAACTTGGCTCATTAGATGTCGCCTTTTTTAAATTATTATGTGTTGAAGACTGAATCGTAATTCGACTAATATTATTATTATCAGGGATGGATCGAAGGGGACGGATGGGGACAATCATCTCATGCAAATTTAAAATTACCATATATTTTAGATTTTATATGTATTTTCTATTGAAAATTAATTTTTCGTCCCTTGAATTTTATAAGTTTATCATTTCCTAAAATTTTAGAAGTTCGAACCCTTTTATGAAATTCTACATCGGTCTCGAATTACTATTATAACATACATAAAAATATATATTAGAATGTGTTTAAACACATAATATCTTTCAGTTTATTAATAAAATGATATCAAGATAATTAAGACATTATAACTAGAAAATTCACTATGGTAACTATATATAAGCTAAACTCCAATTCTTTATTATTTTTTTTATTAAAATGAAAGTCCCCTTATTTGCAATTGCAGAAAATATGTTCCGTTTGACTGATTGTCTTGTTATCCGGAACGGAAGTAGAGACGAATTTGTAAAATTTTAGGAGATAAACTTATAATATTTTAAAATGGTGAAAATATATTATCAATTGAAAATATAAAAAATGATAAACTATGTGGATAGTCTCCTATGTATAGGATCTGACTGACTTTGGTCATTAAATTAAAAATTAAGAGAAAACGGACCATGACGTTATCGATCTGTTCGATTTTAGACTCTCATCTTGTTTAAGTTCCATTTTGTTTAATTCCCTAACATGGTTGAGGCACTAAAATCGAACGAGAGTTAACGACTGAGGGACTAAAATCGAATGGATCAATAATGTTACGGACTAAAATCGAACGGATCGATAACATTAGAGACCATTCCCACTTAATTTTTAAATTGGTGACCAAAGTTGATCAGACTGAAAACATAGGGGACTATTTGCAAGTTTATCTTATAAAAAATATAAAATATATATTAATTTAAAATCGTTAGAAAGGACACTTTATTGATGTAAAAGACATTTATCATTACAGTTTGAAAAATATTCATCTATTTCTTTTTTAAGAAAATGAAAAAAAATCACAAAAACCCTTTGAGATCAACTGAAATATTAATGAACTAACTCTCTCATTTATCCTATCTAGGATATATACCATGTGCACCTAGAGCGTTATAATGGGCAAAAGGCTTACAAGTAAGATTTATTTATTTGTAATTTCACATTACTATTTTAAGCACTTGCATAATAAAAATTTTATGAAGGTATTCAAACGTGATTAACGTAAAATAAAAGAGAGAGAAAACATCCTTATAATTATAAAACTATAAACATTTCATTAATGATATTACATAATTACATATTATGAGAAAATTAAAAATTAGAACAAACTGTTGACTGAGAGAGAACATAAACTTGAAGCATTCAGAAACACAACATATTAATTTAATTTTAATTAAGGAGTCCGATTATTTTTGCATGGGTTTCAACCCGGAATTTTGCATGCAAAAATATCAGCTTGTAAGAATATTTTACTGTCAAACTTTGTTTGAAGCATCTATGGTTTTGGCTTTAGTATTTTGAGTTTCACCAATTCCGTCGTCGTTGTTGTCATTATCATTATTATTGTCATTGTTAATATTGGTTACGTTCACAGCCGCGTCACTTCCAAGCACACGGTGGATCCGAATTTTACGATGTCGACAACGATGTGCTGAGCCGATAATTGAAGCTTCGGATCTTCAACAATTTTCTTGGGGTGGTTCTTGTAAATATCGTAAAGAATCATTTGAAGAATTCCAAAGATAAACCTAAGTACATTCGGAACCTGTTGAGATGCAATGTAAAGAACTGCAAAAAAAAAAAAAAATGAAGGAATTTGCATGAATTATTAGCTAAAAAACGTACGGTAATGTTCATATCCTTCAACAAAAGCCCATAGAAGAACCACATCACTGCTCCCAAGGTGAGGAAAACTGAAAAAGTAAATGGCGTATACTCCACACTCTTGGTTTTTATCACTTTTCTCTGCAAAAAAACACATATATTCAGTTAGTTTCTAATGAAAAGTATTAAAAGGTATATGCAAAAGTACACAATGAACCAATTGGGTTAAATCTAGGGCATGAATTTAAATAGTGGTCCACTCTCGGAATAACAGTTAAAGATAGTCCGAAACTACTTTTTATGACTGCGATAAATGCTATTGTCTCTCTCACGAATAAATACAATGCAACTGCGACCGCAATTTAAATCTCTATAGGAGATATTATAATTACCACAATTCCAAGAGGTGCAACGAACACACACAAAGAGAATGCCATGCAAATATATCCCAGAATTTGAAGACGGGTCAAAGAGTTTGGTAGGAAGAATGTTGAGAAAAAGATTACTACGAACCCGAAAACATTGAATAAGAGGGTAAGTTTCACGGTCTCCACCTGAAAATTCACTCATTTGTGAGGAATTTATCCGAAAATATGAGGAAAAAAAGACTAAACCCAAGGTTGAGAGGGTATGTAAAACAGTACCTTTTCCTTCTTGGGACCGTAGTAAAAGTAAGCAAAGAGATAAAAAGTCTGAATGAAAACGCAGAAAGTGTTGATGGTGATGAGAAGCATAGCATCCTTCTTAAGGAGCGCATAGTAAATTCAAACCATGGCACTGAAGAGCGAAATCACGTAAGGGATTGATTGGAAGCCTTCCGATGTTTTCTTCTTGTATATTTGGTAAAATGTTGGCCTGCAAAATCATATTTATATAATCAACCATTGATATATATAAAAAAGTCATTGAAATTACAGTGAAATGAAAAGCTGATAACTGTGACTTACAGTGGAGCAGGGGAAACCAGAAACGAAACAACGTTGCCTAAAAAGAAACAAACATGAAATATCAGATATTGAGAAAGAAATGGTGATTAAAGAATATACACACACATATATGTATGTTAAGCATACCGAGAATGCCAAAACCGAAGGCAAAAGAGAGATGAAGAGCCATATTTGTATATATATATATATATATATATATATATATATATATATATTGTGAAATCCCTCTCAATCTTTCTTAACAAAGAAAGTACTTCTCAATAGGGATGTATTCGGTTCGGTTCGGTTCGGTTTTTTACCAAAAATTGAACCGAACCGAAATAAACGGGTTTTCAATATTTAAACCGAAACCGAAACCGAATAGTTAAAAAACCGAAATCGGTTTTTTCGGTTCGGTTTGGTTTTTTTAACGGTTCAGGTTTTTCGGTTCGGTTCGGTTCGGTTTATCGGTTTTTCAATAAAAAAATCACTTGAAACTATAATTTTTTTTACAAAAATTGCATATTCGGTTCAATATGGAACAAATAGGTTCCATATGGAAAACCCGAACCGAATAAAAAAAATGAAGCCTTTAAACCGAACCGAAAATCGAACCGTTTAAAGCCAAACCGAACCGAACCGAACCATTTTATTCGGTTCGTGTCGGTTTTTCGGTTTTCTCGGTTTCGTTGCTCAGCCCTACTTCTCAAGTGATGAGGCTCTTACTATCTCATTACTCTCAAACCCCACAAGCTATGAAAGCACTTTTTGGGTCTGTATTTATAGTGATGGAAAAGGGCAGGCTGAGGAATTTATGCATTACTGATGTTGTTTTTTCATGAGGTATGTAAATGAATTTGATTTTGAATCTCAATACCTCCTCCTTATGCCCCACTTTGCAACTAGACTTGTATGGATAGGAATATTCACTTATACTTAAATTATTTTTTAGGTTAAAGTGCATAAATGGTCCCCAGATTATAAGGTGTTGATTTGTTGAGTCTGACGACTATTAAAAGTTACAAAATAATCCTCTAATTATAGTACATTGTTTTGTTGAGTCCCTCAATAATCAAAAGTTACAAAGCGATCACTCAACTATTCATATGTTCCAAACTCATTTCCCATAAAAAAAAATTGACAACCGTCTGAGCTGAACATAACTTGTTGACTAGGATATGATAAAATCATATTTTAATAATTTCTACTAGAATAGATGTTGTTTTCAAGCAATGACTCGACGGCATAATATTTCAAGCACTGACTCAATGACATAAAGTAAACAGAGAGTCGATCCAAAAAATACAACTCAAACGATTCTAGGATCAAATTTTATCATATCCCAATAAATAGGTTAACACCTGGATCAGATGACCATCAATTTTTAATGAAAAAGGACGAGTTTGAAACATATGAAAAGTCGGGTGATCATTTTATAACTTTTAATAGTTGATGGACTGAACAAAATAATACTCTATAATCAAAGAACCATTTGTGTACTCACCCTTCTTTTATTAGTATGAGGTGATCAAAATTTTATTAGCCTGTTGGCAATAAAGACACAAACCTTATAGATGCAATTGTTTGAACCAGGATTGCATCAAACAATTGCATGAGCGAATAATATTATTTTTATAACTGAAGTGGTTTAATGAGTTTATATCGATTCAACTTGAATGATTAGATTAAATAACCTATCAAAACACTCAAACTTTTAAATAAATTTGAGGTAATTTAACTTAAATCGTTGGTTTAAACTAGCCACTAAAAAAATAAAATCATTAATTTAATTTAATTCAATATGATCTAATCTCTCATATGTTACTTTAAAATAAAATAAAGAAAGGTGACCAAGTTGCAAGTAAGAAGATGCGTTTTTTTATAAAGGAAAAATAATGGGTAGTGAACTTTTTAATGTTTACACATAAGCAATATATATATATATATATGTATAAGTTAACCCTCCCTAAAGCTAACCTACCTTACTCTAAACCCTAAATTTAGCTAAAGGGTCTAACTTTTTTATCCTAAAAAGGGAGGTTGGTGTTGAATGGAAGCAGCCCCAGATTCCCACCTAAGCCCTACTTGGCAGTACCATTCCTAGTACAAACACAAATTAAATGGGGCCCCACCATTAAACCTTTATGATGTGTCTTCCAACAAGTGGTTTTTAAGGTTTACAACTCATACTTCATTGTCCACATTTTCTGTTGCCGTTTTTCCTTTCAAATGTTTTTAGGAGTCACGGTAAGAACTTCCACCTACGACGAAAATGATATTCCCAATTAAGAAAAATAAAAACTGAATCTTTATCTCTTAATAAATCTAACGATATATTACTCTGGTGGTACTTAAACCTTTATACTACCTTTAATTTGGTCACCAAACTTCTAAAATTTGTATTGTAATCACTTAACTTTGATATAACTTTCATTGTAATCACTACCGTTAGTCTCCTTTAACGATAACTGATATGGCATGGCCATATATAGTTTTCCTCAGTAAATTGATTCTAACTTTTTTATATTTTCATGTAATAAAAAATAAAAACTTCTCTAATCCGTTATTGATTTAGTATAAAATCAAATAAAACCCTAAAAAGTAAATATTTAACTTCTTCTCTTTGTTTCATCATCATCCTCACCAGTAATGGAAGAATTCATTGCAATCCCAACATGTTTTTGTGAAATTACAATGAACTAACCATATGATCAAAGGAGGTTTTTTTGGGTACATAAATCACATTGTCGAATACAAAATATATATATATATATATATATATATATATATATATTGAGTGGATCAATATAAATATAATACAAAATTATCTAACATAATTCGTATATATATTTTAACTTAGAAATACTAATATTTGTATATATTTAGATTGAATGTAAAACAAATTACATCAACTAGGCCAATATAATTTTTAACATAATTATACATATTTAAATTATATATATTTTTAATTTTTTGGGATATAAGATGCGATGATCTAGGTAAGCCCGCCTCTAGATACACCTAATGAACTATATGCATCGTTTTAGGAGAAGTTACAAATTCTTTGACTGGTTTGATTCTTCTTTGAATCTATGTTCACGAGCTGTCATGGATATGAAGAGATATGCCCTTGAAAATTTTAAATTCTCTTATATTTTAAATTTTGTATGTGTAATTTTTATTGATAATTTGTTTCCGTCCCTTAAAAGTTTATAAGTTCACCTTTCTCAAAATATTTATAATTAAGTTCACCCAACCTAATACCTTGTGTCCATCCTTGCGGGTTGTGATGGTTGGTTTAATACCAAAAAAAAAAATCAAAATCATTGAGAGAGAAAGGAGGTTTGAACGAATCATTTAGGTGTTTAGCTTGATGGTTCTAGTGTACCTAGTTTGATTAGCATAGTTGATGAAATGGGAGGAAAAGTTGTAAGTTTAAAGTAAGTTGTAATTTAGTAATTGGTGAATTTACTTAGGTGGCGATGGAAATGGTTAATTTCAATATTAGTTTTTAATTTTCCTTTTTTTCGCTTTTTTGTTTTGCTTATTGTTAGTAATTAGATAGGTGTATGCTGTAATTTCAATAGAAATTATTTTTGTTTCTCATTAGCTGGTTTGGTTTGTGTAACATTGATTGGTAATTGAAATGGAAAACTAAAAAGTAGATTAAAACATCAATAATCGATTGGTTTGGTGGGATTCGCCACTAGATCCTTTAAACAAGGTTAGGAGTTTAAATCATGACGTTTGTGAATTAAATAAACTAAGTTGGGAGGGTCACCTTTATCTCTACATTCTAATCAGGATTACAATTAATAAAATGGATTATCGATGATGATAAAAAATAGATTAAAAGGAAATAATTATCAAAATACAAAATCAATTTTATTACTTGGACACCATGCATGAAGAGGAAAATGGTAGAAGGTACACAATTACTTAATGTTTGTACCTTACATAATTACTTAATGTTTGTACCTTACACAAATTTTCTTACAATGTACTATTGTACTTATACAAATACCATCACAAACAAAACTAAAAATTCTTTTAGACAAGTATACATATGAATTAATCTATATGTGGGTTAGCTTGGTACTTGGTCAATTGTTGTAGGTCTCGTAAACTGTAAGTAAAAAAATGCAAATATTAAAAGTGAATAAATGCATTGGATAAATTAAGATTCTTTTTAAAAAACTTGAATAATTAAATACTCGCGTAGAGTTTTAGCAGCATGGTAGTTGATGAAATTAACAGGTTAGGTTGAAGCACAGATGAACACAAGATTTTATGTTATGATGAATTTTTAAAATTTTAGAAAGGGACAAATTTATGAGGAACATATAAGTAGCAGAAATAATTTTTTAATAAAAAATACATAGGAACAATCTATAATAGTTTTTAAATTTTCATCGGGACTACGACCCCTCGCTCCCCTTAATCCATAAAAAACTTTAGGCTTTGAGATCTTGTCATTTTATTTCTCCTATATTCCCAGATCTACCCACCTAAGCCTAGATCTAGGGCCTAAACCACCTAAAAAGACCCCCAAAAGCTACTCGACCTTTCGGCTCTCTCACGCTCCGGCCGTCGCGAAGATGAACTAGCCCTCTAGTTCGACTCCCCTCTCAGGTGCCTTTCCAGATCTCTCCTCTTCTCGTTTTTCTTTTAAAAGCCTAGTTTTTTTATATATTATATTATATTTATTTCGAAATCAGAAATACCTTGAAAATTTTCAGCTTTGTATTACTTCTAAAAATGAAAAGGGGAAACCTTTTTGCTTACAACCATTCGAGTTTTATAACACCTATTTTTACAGATCTTTTCAAAAAAAGGAATCATTATAATGCTTT